TATATATATATATATATTCCACATTTTTTAATTATGCAAATATAAAACAAATGCCAAGTTAGGACATATATTTGTAATTTTCCCTCACATCATTTATAAAGTGAAAAACACTGATAATGTTAAAAAGGAAAATCTATAGGAAACTTTTAATGTACACATTTTGTCTTATTATCAAGTATATCCCTTAACCTGGTAGATTAGGGCCCTACTGATAATTTTACAGACACTGGAGGATCACCTCTCACAGAAGTTGTTCAGGATTGTTCTTCAGAGTATCCTAATAAAATATTGTTTAAATTGTACTGTATGCAGTGCAGGATAACATCTAGTTGGATCTTAACTGGGTTATTTGGCATTCATGCATATAAACAGAAGAAGAGTTGCCTTTTAAAATACTCTTAAGACGTGTCTTCTAAACCTACTACTGTAATTTTTTCACAATTCTAAAAAATGTTTTTTATAGTATAGCTAAAATGTGAGGCAAATTTTACACACAAAAAACCTTTTTCACAACAAAGTTTGTGGTGTTTCTTGGTGTCACTATTTGTTTTCCTGATCATGCAGTATAATGCCTAATATGGTTTACAGAATACAAATTAATAGTATACTGTATGGTTTATACAGATAACTATAATTCTTGAGTTCAAACAAGTAAGGTTCATTAATTTTTAATTTAATATGCATTTGTTGTGAAACCATTGATTAAAATGTAAGCATGGGATTATTAGGGTTAATATTATGCTTCTTATGACTACATAGTTATTCAGCATTTTCCTTATATTTATTAGATATGCCAGGTATTGAGCAAAAAAAATCTAAATATAAGCATTTTCTATTTATTTATTTTTTTATATAATTTTTAAATGTTTAGAAACATTTTAAAATGACATTTTTTAAATAGTCTATTTCCTCTTAAAACTTTAACGTCATTTTTAAATCATTTATTAAATATCACATGCTGTGACATACAGCCACACCTGTCAAGAGCTCATATTATTAGTTTCAAAGCATTATCCATATTCAAACTCTTTTTGTTCTGCCACTTGTAAAAAAACATTCATCAAAGGCTAAACCAAGTCTTTCATGGAGGCTCTTCAGTGCAGTTGGTACAATTCCGCCAATTCATCAAAGGCATAAGAAGAGGCTCTAATTGATTGAGAATATGGCAATTTGCAAGGCTTTTCTTCACTGCTCAGTGTAAAAATCAGCTTGTATAAACGGGAACGAAAATTTGTAAAATATTGTTCTATATACAGTATATATTAGTGGCAAAAGACTGAGCAGAGTAAAAAAATTATAAAACATGTGAAATGCACAGCTTGGGAACCTGATTTTTCATTAAATGTTTATATAAAAAAGATACATATAATTGAGCAGTGCTCTATAACAAATGTATGCATACTGCATGCATGTTTTTCTGTTGCAAAAGTGATTAGAATGTAAAAAAAACACAACAGAAATACAAGTAAGTAAGTTTTAATCACAATGGTGTAGGTATCAAATATCTCCAAAAATCACCGACAATCATGTATCGCAGTCTGAGAATGAGGCTTGGTTTGCACCTGGGCATTTTTCAATGCAAAACACAGAAGGCAATGCATTCTAATGGGGCTTGTTCACACCCACGCCCAAAAATGTGGAATGCATATAAAAGTGCATGCACAATTTTCTGGGAGGTTTCTGCATGATCTGATTGTGGTTGTATCCGCCAAAAAGCAAAAAAGTGTGTCTATTAAATTTTGCGAATTTGCTGAATTGGGAATGCTCAGGTGTGAATGGAGCCTGACCTCAATTCTTTCCACCAGCAACTACTTATCAGAGTGTTTACATATTTATCTTAGTTGTTTCAGTACTGAAGCCTACCTGCCTTAGACGTAATCTTCTTATTCTGTTGGCCATATTCTCGCCCTTAAGATTATCCTTTTTTAAAGATTCCTATCTGCTCAAACCATCTGTAAATGTTTCCCAGCCAATAGCTCAAGATCTGGATGCAATATATAACCTTGCAATCACCATAGACTTTCCTAAGTGACAATATTTTTTTACTAATATCATTACCCAAAAAATGCTAATTATTCTATATATGTTTCTCAGGTTATGAATATAGCTTAAAATCACTAACAACTGTTCAGCATGTGAGCAACTATGGCCTTTAGCCTGTAACTGACCTAATTTTTTTATTTACAGACATGTAGCTATTCAGTCACTGAGGGAGGAACAGCACCCCAAGGGAGAGAAGGTCTATTGCATTGCACAGTATTGTCAATCTGACGAGCCTGCTGACAGGATAAGAGAAAGTGGAGCAATAATCTAATAATCTTTTGTCCTGCACTCTGAGGAAGAGTGTGTCAGTGACCTAGCTGTCTCCTTTAAAGCTCCTTTTCTCAAACCAACCCCCCATACACATTCTTAACACCCCCAACTAATCTTGTATACGAAAGTCTTGTGTGAAATAGTTAAACATTTATTATAAGCCCATACTTGCCTGAATCCCTAGCCATGAGATGTGTGAGGTCTTGAATCTTCTATCTTATTCACTACAGAGAAGTGAAGTGTCCATATCACTGCCTGAGTGATATGGACACTTCCTATTGGCTGTCAAGTGGTGGGGTCTTCTCATGCTCCAGAAGACAGAATGACATGGTGGCATCACAAATGAGAGGCTAGTCAGCGCGGGTACAGAACAGTGCTGGATCACCCATTTCAACATCTGGAAGCAGCTCCAGCGAGGGACACGGATGGTGGATTCAGGTAAAGGGAAATCATTGTTAGAGGGTTTTTTAATTAGCAAAATGAAAAGATGGGGTGGGATTGATGGGAAAGGGGTTTGTAAATGCCTGAAAATGGGCTTTAACTGCAGGTAGAAAAAATGTCTGGATCAAAAGACTTGACCATAGGTTGACCAGAGTGACAAATACTTTTGAAGGCAAAACAGTTCACATTTAATGATTTCAACTGTGTATTCAGCTGCCTGACTGGACTTTAATACTTGAAACTGAGTGTCAGCTCATTAACCATGTCCAAAAAAGTTTTAAATTAAGCATATGGAAAGGCTACACAGACTTGGCTGACTTCTCAGTTAATAGAAAATGTTTAAATAGTTTTTTTTCTGAGTTACACATGGATTCTCTCATATATACTCAGCACTGGCAAAATAAATCCTCTTCAGTAAATGCAGGAAATAGAGAAATGGTTTCCATGAAGCTTAATAAATGTCTGATCTGCCATTAATTTAATCTATCGCTAAGAGCAAACAAAAAGCAATTTGTTATAAATGGGTTAAAACTCATTCTGGTGTCACAGTATAAATCAGCTTCCCTGTGTACTATAGCAGATGGAAATGCAGAATTTCTTATGCAGCCTGCAGGTGTTTTGAGCTGTGTCTCTGATCACAAAAAAATCAAGCAATTTGTGCTTTGTACTGTGAAATTAAGACCCACACCATTCCCACTGTAGATGATAGTGTTTAACACCTAGTATTTATAAATACTGAGAACACTCAATATTTTGCATGACTGGAAGACTTTCTAAACTAATATTATTTTCTTTCCAAAATAAAAGATTTTTAAAGCTATATCAAAGTTCACAGATTAAATTAAAACACAAAATTAAATGTTGCATATATAATCATTTACAGTCATATAAATATACACAGTATATGAATGTTTCAAAGTAAATATCTATTCTATCGCCATGAAATCAGATAGTTTTGTGAAATGCATGCCCATACAACATAGATATCTCTTTAGTTTCCATGAAAACATATAGTTCTGTGGATACATGTCGATACCAAGTGGTTATCTGTTCAATTTCTTTAAAAGCTTATTGATGCATGTACCCAAAACCTTTTCCTCAGGGTATTGTAGTGCTGCTTACAGGGAATATTACTTTGCCATGGACATTCAGAATCTGGTCCAAATTCATAGAATTATGTAGATAAATGTTTATGCCTGACTTTGAACTTGCAATTATTCTCTCAGGCTTAAGATTCAATGGACCCATTGAACAGTTGAGTTTTTTGCTGACAGTTGAGTTTTTTTTCTTTACCTAGTACAAACAAAACCACCCAATAATGGGGAAGCAAACCCTGTATGTAGTCTGTAAATGTTAAAACAATAA